AGCTGAGCATTAACGGGATTTAACTGATAGTTCCTGTTGAAAGAATCCACTTATGAAATCGAATTTACTGAAGTATTTATGTTTGCGAAGTTCTGTAAATAAAGAATCTATCCTGGGGAGAGGGTACCTATCGGGGATAACTTTTTTATTAATTTTCTGAAGTCAACCACCAAACGTTTATCGGCAGCAGATAATTTGGTAGATACAGTTTTATCTACGCCGGGTTTTACCACCAGGAAAGCCGGGCTAGCATACGGGCTTGTGCTTTCTCCAATAACATCAATTGATTTTAGCTCTGAAATTATCTCATGTATTTGTTCATCTTCAATTGGTGATTGGTGAAAGGGCGGAGAATGAACTGGTATGTCATCAGTGAGATTTATTTCTGCAGGAAGAATGCAAGCCTTTTTTAATTCTATGTTCTTTGATGCAAATATTTCTTTGGAATTTTCTATGATATTTTTGATCTTCTGAAAGATTGATACTGGCAGAGACCTGTCAATAGAAATTGGTGTTCCCGAATTATCAGTGGGAAGTATGTTTTCTGGGTTGATCACTTCAGAATTGACGTTTGTACAGTCTTCTGAAGAAATACAGGCAATTGTGTGATGTTCCGTAGGGATAAAATCATACATTGATTTTCGGTCATAATAATTCCTAACCTGCGTCAAATTTGAAATTGATAACTTGGGCTTTTTGATAATGCGTTTAATGCACATAGATTGGTTCGCGATGCGAGTCGCATGTACTTTTCTTGATACATTAAGCGTATTAATTCTGCCTCGCAGACTGGCCATTTTAATGGCATTTGTTTGCGCAACGCAGGGGTTCCTAGCTGTTCTAGCAGCATAAGTATAGGTATTTTGCGAAAAGGCGGTTTTAACCGTATTTTTCCTGTTCGCAGGGGAGCTCTTCCTAATCGAACAATTAACATTTAAAAGAAAATCACAATTATTAAAATCACAAGCTGAAATAGATAAAATTGATGCTTTTTCAGCGGTATTCATTTTTTAATAGTATTCCAGATTTTTGTCCAATGAGATCGATCCTAACTTAGTATAGTCATTTATGATGATATTATTGAAAGAGAAATTCTTAACTGGGATAAAATTTGTTCGCAAACGACAATTATTCATATAGATATTGTTAGAATTATACAGTTCAACATTTGGATAAAAAAATAGATTTGTTAAAAACGGGGGAACATCACACTTCATAAGAACATTCATTACACATTGAGGTTCTAAAATCGTGGTAATCTAAGCAGTTACTGGTAAGTCAAGCGGGGTTTGAATGGATGACAGTTTGTCCGCTTTTCTATTTGTTAAAGCGATTGAGAAAGTGATGTCATTGTTGCTTAGCGAAACGGTGCGAGCATGATAATTAATAATGGCTTTCGCTTGGCTTAAAAATGTGTCTCCAAGAATTAAAGGGGAGGATAGCGATTTGGTCACATGAACAGAAATTTTAAATGGGTGGTTATTGATGTTCACACATAAGAATCCCTTTTTAATGATCGGTAAACTTTCATTGTTTGCTGTTTGTAATATTAAAGGTTTTCCTCTTGCTGATAAGACATGGTTTGCAAGGGCTATTGAGCATACATTTACACTGGCATTGCTGTAACGCAATAGTATCTACATTCTGAATTTTTACCGGTATAAACGTGGATAAGTTTGATGATAATGTACAGACTCTGCTTTTGTCTGATATCAGAGCACTAAAGCTTGGGACTTGCCGTGACTTTGGATGTTTGACCTTTCTTGGAGCTGATTTTTCTTGGGTGGGTAAAGGCGGGAAATTCTTATTATCATTGTCAAGTAATTTGCACTCTGATTGAACTAATGACTTTTGGTTACAATAACAATGCTCCCTCAAAAGCTTTTAAGATTGCTGCTTGATACCACTCACTGGAAATTTTGGTCACCGTTATTTTTAAAGCACGATGTGGCAACGTGGTCGAATTTTTTGCAAGATCGGCAATATCTAACTCTACATAATTCCGTGGGGGGATTTAAGGCGCAAATTGAACATGTTGTGGAATTATTAGAACCTTGATCGGATCCATTTTGTGCCTGAGGAACGGGGGGATTTTGGGTTTGGATAGGATAATTATTATGAGAATATTGGAATCGAGGGTCGTTGTAATGTGGTCAGAACCCTTGGTTATTAAAATGTTGCAGTCTGAAATGATTGAAATTGTTATCGTAATAACCGGGATTTGGGTAATAATTACTCCTTCTTCTATTGGGATTTTGATATGGAAATCTCAGTCTAAAATTGTTAATAAGTTCTCCGTTTCCGAAGTGGGGTTGGTTTGTTGCTTGGTTGGATTGATTGGGTTTAGGTTTTTTCGGCTTTTTAAAATTTTGCTTGTTGCTTTCTTTAAGGTTTTCTAACTTTTCTTCAAAACCAGAAATTTTATTAAGAATTTCAGTCAACTGAGAGGTTTGGACTTCTTTTACCACTGGTTGTGTGACTTCAGGGATGTCAATATTAAGATGTAATTGTTTTTGCAGATAAAGATCTACTGAGTTATCAAATTCCGTCAACGTACTGTGGAGAAACAAAGAAAATATTGTCTTGGTTGCTAAGGGTAAACCTTTTATAAGATGAAAAATTATTTGATCTTCTGACATGTTTGGGTCAATTTTCTTACATAGGGTTCTTACTTTATATGAATATTCTCTTAATAAATCATCCGATTCCAATTTCAAGTTCTGTAGTTGCAGGTTAAGCCTGCTTACTCTAGAAGTATCAGCGAACTGCTCTTTGAATTTGACCTTGAAAGTATTGTTTTCTAGTACAGGGTGTTCGGTTTTTAAAAATTTTAAATACTGAAGGGCCGCTCCTGACAAATATTTTTGGATAAAGAGAGGAAGATAATCTTTGTTCCATTTGTTAACTTTAATCGCTGCTTCCACAGACTCTAGGAACTTTTCAATGGTAATATTTGATCCTGTAAATTTTTCTGGGAGAATTAGGGAGAAATTTTCTAACGGTAAATTTATGTCCTCAGTTTCTTTCACATTTGCATTATTAGAGGCATTCTGTGCGTTAAAGTTGACATTCATATTCGGGTTGGGTTGGTTTGGTTTGGAGGGCTTCGGTCAACAGGCATTACTTTTTTTCGCTTTGCCTCGGGCTTTCTTCTGATTACATATACAGGGGGTTTGACTTTTAATAATCTATTAGAGCGCCTCGGGGGTTTTAAAAAATCAGGAGGAGGCAATGGAGGTGGGTGAGGGATTAAAATATTTTCATCAATAGTTGGCGAATGCGCGATATCCTTGGCAAAATTAAGTCCGAAAGAATCATCAAGATTGATAATGTCCGGCGACTTACGACCTCTCATTTATGGATTTAACATTTTAATATTTCTCGAATTTGAGATCTAATTAAAATGTTAGAAAGTAAGGCATTGCACAGAGGAATTTACTGTTCGTATTTCTGATGACCGAAGGAGGGTGGTTCATTTTATGATTATTCGGACATTAGCTTTGGCTAAAAAATATTAAAATTTGATAGTGAAATGTAGATAAAATATGGTTAAAATGATAAAATAGCCTTAGTAACTTTCTTTGGTATGTAATTTCCTTGAGGTTTCAGGGCACTATGATAATAATTAGAAAAACGACGAAACTATAAAATTTCGATAAAAGTTAAAAGAACATTGAACATGTCCGTAAAATGTTAAAATGTGAATACGTTCATGAAATGTTAAAAGAGCAATAAAAACGTTGAAAATATGTTAAAAGAAGGCTAAAATCGGTAAGGGACATTGATAGTGAGAAAAGTATGCATGACCTGTTGATAGACGGCGCGGCGTGGTCCGGTCTTTGTCCTTGATTTGGATGGATTGATTAGAGCGTCTCGTGTTCTTCGAGTGAATTCTTTTCCTCTCTTCAACTTCTTTGGTTGTTGAGGTCCTCGTCTTCGTATGCTGGGAATCTGGTTCAGTAAGCCTTGAGCTGGACAAGCTGGTGTTGTGCAGGTCGAAGTCAGGCTGGTTTCGGCACCATGTTAGGTTGGCTGGATTTCGGTGGTGAGTTAAAACGGTGGGAGAGCGACAAAAGACGAGAAACGTGAATTTGATATGAATTGAAGATTTATTACTTCGGCTTTGGAAACAAATCACATGAAGCAAGATATTGCAAGACGAGATTCAGCAAAAACAGACGAAATTCGAAACACAAGGAAAAGTTGAAAAAGGGATCAGATTCCCGAGCTATGCCCTGTACCTCAGAAAAAAATGAATGAATCACCAAAATGGCCGGTCCTCCTCTCCTAATCCGGTGTTCGATCGTGACGCTGCGCGCGGAGAGGTCTGGAAGCTTCCTCATTTTGAAAAGGAGGCGGGAAGCGATTTGAGATGCTAACAGCAGCCAATTTTGAAAGACAAGAGGGTGGATTTTTAAAAAGTTCGCGTGATAATGCAAGTGTGGTATCATTCCTCATGTAATTTTGGTCGTAGATTTCATTTATGAAGTCATAAAATCCCTCAAGTCAAAGGAATTGCTCCAAATGCCAAGATGGCGGCCAGATTTGAAAGGCAGGAGGGTGAACTTTTGAGATGTTTACGTGACATCCCCAGTAAAAGTGAATCAACCTGACGTCAGGCTATGCTTCATAAACTACCCTGAGTCAGACGGATATCAGGAAATAAACCGGAAACTCTCAGAAAATGGCGATATAAATGAGAATCGCTGAAACGGGCTTTTTTGAATATCGCTAAAATTCACCCCATCTTTGAGGGTCGATATCTCGCGAACGGGGCGCCGGATGGGAAGACCCTTCAAATTTGTTTCTTAGATTAATGTAAAAACCCTGTACACCAATTTTCAGCCAAATCGACGGGAGTCGGGCACCGAGCCAGGTTGAGTTGTCGTGGAATGAGCCATATAGGTTTGTCCAATACGGTTTTCATTCACTTTGGTATCTCATTCTGTAAGGCTGTGAGACCTTAAATTTTGTCAAAATGGTTGTGTGATTATTTTCAGGAATATTATATTGGTAAGCTCTGCTAACAGCATGGAAGTAGGTGTCTTGGCGGCTAATGGGAAGTCGTGGATTTCATGGACTCAGATCGATGAGGGACGAGCAGAACTTCCTGCTGACCCAGCTACAAAAAATGAAACCTACCCTGTTGGATTTACTTTAGATCTTAGCTCTGTCCAACCTATTCCGTGGGGTAAGTCTTGTCATATTCTTTAGGTGATTATTAATTGCCATTTCATCATCAATTGTAATTAATGTTTGTGTCAAAGCCATTGTTATTTCTATTAATAATTTGGGGGCCGCTAGGACACCTTTTTCCGGTAATCAAAATGTCCGTATCTCGGGACAACATATTCAAAATGGCCGCCATGTCTAAAATCGAAAAGTTCGGAGGTGCTCTCAAAAATCCACGATTTACTCGAAAATTTTTAGAGATTCGCAAAATTGTGAGAGGACCAAAAACGTTTTACACAAAATTTTACATAGGCAAGCATGAACTTCCGAACCCCTTAATTTTAATTCACTTTTTCCCATTGTATTTCCTGCAGCAGTTATTTCTTCACGTTCAGATTCAGGATTTCGAAACACCACACCGCATTTTTTCGCCAATAGCAAGAAATACATCTCTGCTCGCTCTGTATGGCTGCATAAAACACCCCTTTTTTGGCGAGGCTCTTTCCCCCCGATTTTTTGAAATCGACACCTAAAAATCCAAAGTCGGACCACTCTGTGCCCAAAAATGATCCCTTAAATAGGGGGATAGCACAGCAGCCCCCTCCATAATTTCCCTGTGGTCAAAAACTGACGCAGATTGTCCGGATAAAGATGATTTACCAGGTAATCGACCCCCAAGAAATCCGATTTTAATGGTCCCAAAGCCCTCTAAGTCTCCCTTGCGGGGTAAATGGAGCAGGCAAAATTTCAAAAGTCGGGGGAAATTGTGCCCCCATTTTACCCCCCAAGGGAGGCTAGGGGGGCCTCACACCATAGATATCAGATTCCTTGGGGTCAATTACCTGGTAAACCATCTTTTTCCGGAGAATCTGCGTCAGTTTTTGACCAAAGGGAAATTATGGAGGTGGCCGTTGTCCTTTTCTTTGAGGGATCATTTTTGGGCGTAAAGTGGTCCGATTTTGGATTTTTAGGAGTCGATTTCACGTAAAATTTTCCGCACTCTTCAATCCTAATATATACTCGAATTGAAATTCGATCGAGAACCCCGACTTTTAGGATTGTGACCCCCTCCTTTTACTTCCCAAGGGTGGCTGGGATGGTTTCGAGACTGTGAAATTCGGAACCCTTGGGGTCAATTTCCTATTCCACCTTGCGGTCCTCGACTTCGTCCGACTTAAATCAACCGAGAAAAGGCCTGAGGCACCCTGTACAATCGTGGTAAACAATTTTCAGCCTCTTCGCCAAGGAAATGCTGACCAACAGTCTTATGTGATACATTATATGTCATGAGCATGAAGTGTAGAATTCTGTGCGCGATACATGTGAAGCACAGAATTTTGTGGGGCACTAGTTTACTGGTCAAAAATCATCCTGCCAACTGTGCCAAGAGTAAATCTCATTTTTTGTGAACAATCACGAAAGAAAGAAACAAAAGTCACCTTGCAGAGTTAGTGACTAAGTGCCCAGGAGGTGAAAAGCTGCTGAAGTGAGTAAAGCGAGGAGAAGCATCCATTGTCTGCGTTGAAGACAGTATAAATTTGAAGTCATATTGCAATTTTTTTTTTTTTTTCAATAAAGTGTGTGCATTGTGTATCCTATGAAATCTTGCATTTCTAACCATATACAGTACTTGAAGCTATGAATTTGTAGCATTCAAATTTTAATTCGTGTTACAGGGTCAGAGCAACAGATGATTGCACCAATGCCAATTTTAGGAATCCTGTCTCATACCGGTGTTCTCTGTCTCTTTCACGTTGTGAATTTAAATTCTGCATCTGCAACTATTTGTAGTCCTCCGGAACCTCTTCCTAACAGATCAGCTTTACAATACTCTCCTGTATTTGCACAGGTGTTTCTTATTGCCTCTCAAAACTTTTCAGAATAATTTACCTGAAGAGGAGATGACTCCTCTTCAGTTTTGTAACTCTTTTGGGTTTAATATTCGTCTTCTGATGATCAATGTTGTTTTTCATCCACATTTAAACTGCATTTAACTAAACTCAAACAGCATCATAATAACTAACATCCTAGCACTAGCTGTTAAAATTTGTCTCACAGTTTCATCGCAATTTTCTGTGGATAAGAAATACATAAAAAAAAGAATTACTTAATATTTGCCTTAAGTTTCATATTCGTTTATGAATTCACTTTTGTGAATGTGCAGTGGTTTCAACCACTTTCTCAACAATGTTATCATTTTATATCCAATAGCTGTATGTTGTTAATAGTTGGTCACAAGCTTAAATGAACTAAAGTGGCCAATAGGAAAGTTACAGTAATGAAATTTTATTTTGTTGGAAAAAAATACAGACTGCATGTATTGAATTCAACATTGCAGTACTTAAATAGATCTAAAACACATTTTCAGTCATATTTTTTTGCGTTCAAACAGCTTGATGTCAGTGGTGATCCAGATAATTAGCTTACCACCTTCAGAATTGCTCAAGCGAGTAAAAACGAACTTCTTGCAGGGCCCAAATTATATAAGAATGCATCACTAGGTAAATAATACATCCTTAATTTTTTGAGTTTCCTGCAGTGTTGAGAAGAAAGGGCAACAATGGGTCTATTGAGAGAGAGAATGCAAGAGATGCAGCCACGTGAATAGACCCTGGGGGTGGGGGAGGTATGGCATAAAAATCTATTGGAAAAGTCCTAAAATCACACCTTCATGTGCAATTTGCGTAGATTGAGACACCTAATTCCAAATTTTCTGCATCCGGGGACAGTTATCTCATCAGTGGAAACATGCAAACAACAACCTCTGGTGGCCTTGGTGGTTGCCTATGCGTTGTTGTGCTTTATTTTTTTACAAGGGAAGATTTTTTATATTTTTCCATGCCTTGAGTTGTTGAGAGTGTATTTTATTAATCCGAAGGTTATGTTGATAAAGATTTTGTTCAGAATCAATAGTCAGTTTTCTTTGAAGTAGAAACTGTTTTTATCGGGATGCATTGTAACTGATAATTTTACCCTGGTTCTCTCCACCTAAAGAACACCTAGCCAGTGACCGTCTCCAAAAATTGGGGAAATCGTCTTTGGCGGATCATTTAATAAGCACAAAACATGACCTGGAAGCCACGGAAGTACAAGTTAAGAAAAATGTGCCAAAGGAAAGAAAATGAACCTCTACGAGCAATTTTACATAGAATCTCAGAAAGGTGACAACCTGCTCAATAACCAACAAGAGAGTGAGGTGGCAACCCTGATAGCCCCTCCGATCCCATTCAGAGATGTGCGCTTGCACCAACACCAAACGGACAACACGATGACGCAATGCCGAAAACCAGGCAAAAATCAGTGATGAGAATAACGCGATGGCGGGCCGGGTGCACCCTACAAGTGTTTTTAATACGTTTTTTTTTTTTTAATATTAGTGTTTTACCATGTAATGTTGGTTTTACGGATGTCACACATCCAAGTTTTAGTGTACAGACCTGATGATGATCATAAAAAGATAGAAATAGCTATCGGCTAAGTCTAAAAAATCAACGTGATCAGGGAAAACCAAGGTAAAATTATTAGTCAGTTTTCGTGTAACCGGAAGTTGCCGCAAGTGCTGTTGCTTCTTTTCAAATACGATGATTGGTAACAGCCCCCATCCACGTGATTTTCGAAAAAACGTGTTCTTAGCAATGCAAATTGCGCATTAGGAAGTAGATTACAGTCTCTTTTAATGGGATAATCATGATTTCCATCCCTCTTTACCCCTGAGATGTCTATCTACACGATTGTATCTCTTGGGTGCATCAGGCCCATTTCTAGAAAAACAAACTCTATAACTGGAAACAATGAATTATTAAAAGGATTTATTTGCTTTTTTTGCAGCCATTAAGTGCATCTCATCAAACAATTCCTGCACCACAACAAACAAGTCGGTAAGCACTAAAATTCAGAATCTCCTTCCCTAGCGGCACAAGTTAAACATAAATGACAGAGGCTCTCTATCCTTATCAGCACCGCATGGCCAAACGGCAGCGCGCTCGCCTTGCAGGCGGGAGGCCCCTGGATTGGATCCAGATTCCGGCCTGTAATTTTATTTTACTTTATGCTTGTTTATTTTTTACTTACTTTATTTTTCACCATTCTCTCCGCCAACGGACTTACGATGTAGAACATGTCGTGACTAAAGATTTTTTACATATGCTGATTGTTGGGGCCTTAATCCCTACTTTAGTTTACAGATACGAAAGGCTACTGAGAGCGCTCGGGCCTGGCTTCAGCTCCCTTGAGCTGGGGTTCCTAGCTAACACCGGGCTCGAGCCGGGGTCCCTATACTGCAGTTCACTGGGCTAACCGGGGTCCCTAAACTACTCTCCGGGCGAACGGGGGTCCCTATCTAAACTCTCCGGGCTAACCGGAGCTTAAGAACTAAAACACCGGGCGCACCGGGGATTTACCTGCATTGACACCGGGCGTGCCGGGGAAACCTTTACCTGATTGATCCTGGCACCGGGCGGACCGGGGAATCGATGAATGTTGAAAGTTCACTCGTGAGTGGCATTGAATTAGCGCTTTTATCGGCGTGCACCTAGGACGTGGGTAAATCGGTATCCCGCGCCCGGCATAGGACGTTGAAGAACAAAAAGTAATACTGAGAAAAGAACTTAAACACCTTTAACCTTGAAACCTTCTTTGCTTTATTTACATTTATTTACAACTCTGGGAACTCAATAAATCATTATTTTCCTTCCGTAAACAAAATAAAGGGACCTTAATAAAACATAAACCACCTTGGCGACGCGAGCGCTCTCTAGGGGAGCGCCGCCGAAGCTGGCCGCGGCCGGCGTCGCGGCGCGACTAGCTGTGCGCTAGACGGCGCGGCGCGGCAGCAGAAATTACGCGCTAGAGGCGCGTACACTGACAGAAACTCGAAGTTTCTGCTGGATTGAAAGGTTATATATAATTGAGTAAACAAAAGACTCTAAAACTCACCAAATCTCGTTGCCAAGCTGAATTTTCAAAGTATCAGTCGAATCTGTATCTTCCCCAATGCATAGAGCTATGCTTCTGTGCTTCATAAAAAAAAAAAAAAAAAAAAAAAAGTAACAAAAAATTCCGTTTGACAGAATCATCGGGTCAACGCTATAATTGAGGGGGAATCTATTCATTTGTTTTGTTTCTTCTTGTTTTTATTTTTTTTGGCTTTCATAACAGATCTCCGTGATTTTTCGCAAAACGTGTAAATTTCGCCGGCGCGTTTTCGCGTGACCCGTTGGTCCAGCGGTGTGATTATTAATGGGGGGGGGGGGGGGAAAAGC